CTAGATTTTATTTTTATTCCTCTTTTTCAAAGTCAGTTGACGGGGCAAATTCTCATTTGTAGAGAGGCGGGGCAAAATGAGTGCAGTGACTTGCTGAAGAGCGCAGCAGCAGAGCCGCACCCGGGATTTAAACTTGTGATTCTCCTGTTGGGGTCGGTGCAGCACCCATCAGGGTGACCTGTGGCAGCCCTTCTGCCAGTGGCCGCACTACACAGCCAGTCACTGGGAGAAGGGAGAAACCAGTTGACCTGTTGAATTCAGGGGGAAATGTAATTAGGCCAAGTTGCCTAATTGCAGAGAGGAAATTAGCCAACACAGCATGGTTAATAACCCTGCTCTTTTGAAAAGTACTCTAACATGGCAGGGTGGCTCGGTGCCGCACTGGTTAGCATTGCTGACTCACAGTGCTATTATTTGTAATAGCAGTTTAATATTGTTTCAGACAACTGCTTTCAAGCAAGTCTCCCTGCTGCATCGAGGCAGCTTTTTTCTCAGCTTAGTATTTTTTCGGGCGGCTGTATTCAAGCCAGTCTCTCTGCTGCATATAGGCAGCCTTTTTACGGCTGGCATTTCATACATCTCCATTTTTCAGTCAACCTGAATTATTGCTTCCTTGTCTCTCATTAAGCCTCACACCCACCCAGCGATCCCGAAGACTCCTGAGGCTCCTCCGTCAACCTGCACTTAAAGCACAGCTTGTCATTTGTCAAGGCTCCGAGATCTCGGGGAGCACTGCGAAACGTCTGGTTCAGAGGGAAGACGGCCACCTGTGTGCCCAACAAAACCCCTTTTTTTTCTGGATTTCACATCCCAGTACACTTAATTGACATACTGTAAATTGTGCTTCATTTCTTGTGCACATCACGAACACTGCATTTCTATCCATCCATTTTCCAACTGCTTCACCCAATACAGGTTTGCAGGGGAGCCAGAGCCTATCCCTGCAAGCAGCAGGCACAAGGCAGGATACACCCTGGATGGGACACCAGTCTATCACAGGAGAGACACAGACACAAACACACGGGTCCAATTATCTAGATGCCAGTTAGCCTACCAGTATATCTTTAGACTGTCGTAGGGAACCAGAGTATCTGGAGGAATTCTGAAATTCTCTTATTATTATTTATACTTGCATATTTAGACCTGTTGCTGGACGGATCTCAAAGAAAGAAGGTAGCTCAGGAAGAAGGGAACATTTGCTAAACGTCAGAGGATTGCTGACTCAGAAATGATGGGGATTGTATTGTGGTGCTGCATAACCTTTGGTAAATTCTGTTTGAATAGTACAGAGCCAGGGATGCATGAGAAACTGTGTCATAGTCTTTCATTGCACACAAAGGATCTGATTAGCTGGGTCCTGGTTTGCGAATGTGACCTGGCCGGGTCAAAACTGTACTGTTGGGACATGAGTGCGAGTGCTTGCATGTGATGGTGAAAGCTCCTGCAGCTGTTGTAAAATGAACAAATTAGGGTTCCTTTCAGCTCATGGTCCTTCTTCAGGTGTTGTTGCCGGTGTCAATTGTGAAGTGTCTCCCTTTCTGGAGCTTCAGTGGGTTGCCGATGTGCAGCAGTCTTGTCAAGTCGCCCAACAAGCAGCAGAGGGAAGTGGATGGATCTTGCTGATTCCATTCCCTTCACTCCACGTGAATACCAGACATCAATAGAGCTGTTTCAGAGTGTATATGCTAGATATGAGGTTATTTGTAGTTTTTTCTGTATTGTAATGTTGCTGTAAACGTATATTACTGTCTCAGTTGAGACACAATACTGTCATACTATACATTAGATGTGGGAAATTCTGGTAATCAGCCAAAAACATTCATGACGAAAAAGGCAAGTCACCTTATTGTATAATAAATATTCTCACACCAGAACACAAAGCATGGGAATCAATAGCTTTTTTTTTCTTGACAGCCTTATCTGGAGTAACCAGCTAAATGCACTGTGAAATACCCATTCAATTAATTATACTCATTCCAGATAAAACCGGGTTATAAATATATATAACTCTGTTCATCCTCTGTGAACAGTGAGATTGGAATTCTGCGGGAATGGCAGCAGACCTGTGCCTGATGTTAATTGCCAGAGCGCTGAAGCCGTGATGGATGCCCAGATGTGCTGTCAGACCCTCTCATATTCTTTGCCTGCTCTTTACTCTGCTGTTAGAATTGAGATCAATCAAAGACCGTGAAGGTGTGCCCCCTTGACTCTGCAGCAGCTCAGTGTTTATATACTGTATGTGTCTATAGGCATGTAGGCCGGGGGGTTTGGGAAGTGGATTTGGATGCTGGGGTGCAGTGTCAGTGGGATAAGGTCTCCCCTCTCTGGTGGAATACTCCCAACATGCCCAACTCCTCACACCTCCCCCTGGCTGTTTGTTTCTTCTTAACTAAAAATAGCAGCCCACATTTTAGCACGTAGAGTAATCGCGTAAATCACTGTCTAGGTTCTTTGGCACTGTAATTGAAACGATGTGGGCACTGTTATTTCAGTTCGCTGAGCCGAACACCTCTCTTTATTTTGTGTGTTGCATTTAAAAAAGCTATTTTGGTTCAGTTCTGCTGGAATAATACTCAGTTGAACACTTTCCTGTCATTAGCTCTGGGGGTATGGTTGTGATTCAGGGCCTTTGGCATCTTACTTGTATGGGTTCGCACCAGGTGCTCCAATTTCTTCACACCCCCCAGAAAAGACTTGCCTGGGTGTGACTGGCTACTGTAAAGAGCTTCTTTCTCTGTGGGCACCAGTCATTGATGTTATTATGCAACAAGCTGTTTTTTAACCTGAAACCAAATCAGGTGGTGAGTTCGTCAGGCATTGATTATGCAAACGTAGACTGTTAGAATGTGAAAGAAGAATGTGAAAAATGTGGCACCTATTGGTATATTGCAGAGTTGGGCAACCCTGGCTGTGGAAAACTGCAGTCTAGCTGGGCTTATCAAGACAGGGAATCTGAGTTTTGTTAAGGTAATTGGTTCTGTTTAGTCAGGAATAGCCAACTGTTGTGGAGAGCTAGAGTGAGTTGGCATTTTCTTTTCAAATGATCTCTGAACTGATTCATTTAAGGATGTGGTCAACATTAACTTGTTCCAAGTGCTCAGAAATGTATTATTTGTCATGCTGTGGCTCTCTTAACACCAGGGCTGGATACCCCCAACACATTTCTCCAAACTTTGGTTTGAATGGAGTGAGCAGTTGTTTTCTCTGGCCAAAACACTTGAAAGGGTTAAAGACGTGACTCTGTAATGAAATAAGTTAAATGCAGACCAGGGATTAAGATTTTAGATGCACAGACCACAGGAAGAGTAACAGTTATATGCAGTATACTGTACATCTTGCCTTTCATTTGGCGATAGTGGTTTTCATAATAAAAGCAGAAGTGAGAACAGCAGTAGCTCTCTCATTTGAATCTAACCTTACAAGTATAGTATGAAAGTGCTTAGTGGTGTTTGTTGACATTTGAAAGATGGTGGGGACTTGTTTTGTTGATGGAGCAGAACTGCGCCCCAGTCAGCAAGATCTGTGCTAATGAAATTCCTTATGGATGTGCTTGGCATTTGGCACAGACTGGTTACTTCAGAATGTTCAGTAAACAAGGCAAGGCCCTCGATTGAGAGTGGGGTTAATTATTTTGTTAGCTCATGGCTCCTTTTAATCGGTTTCCACAGTCCCGCCAATAGTGAATGATTTACCTCATTCTGAAAGGTTAATAGATTTTGGTCTGCATTGCACTCTTTTAAAAATGATAAATACACCTTGTTACAGGCTAGGGTGAGGGTTTTTTAGCCTTTTTTACTGTGTTCTTTGCCATCTAAGTACAAAAGTATCACCATGAGGGCCTTATGTGGGATTGGAAGTTATTTTATTTTTCTGTTGTGTTGTCTGTTGTGTTCCAAAAATTATTATATCACATTAGTTATTGTCACTGTAGTCTTAAATCATTAAGCTGACTTAATTTTTATGCACAAGAAATTATCCTGTTATATACTGTTATAAACATATACCTTACAATTGGCTTTTCTCCTAACTGGCATGTGTGTGGTAGTGTGCAAATTACATTAAGTCAAATTTAGAAATTACTTGAATTTGATTTCAATTTGTATTGAATTTGTATTTTCAGTCTGTTAAGAACCATTGCTCATGTTGTTACTATATGTTTAATGTTTTGCAAAAACAAAGTATACGCCAGACATTACATGATTTATTTGTTTTCCAGTTTAGAGCAATTACAGTCATCTCTTGGCTCTGTAAGCACACTGGTGCTGGACAAGGTACTCTGTGTATCATGGGGGTTATCGCAGCTTGATTGAATCTGAAAAATATTGTACCTTGAACTTCAAACCTTTCTCAGTAAATAATTTAAACATTGGATAGAATGCTATCCAGATGTATCTTAGAAAACCTCTTTCTATGCTTCAAATTGGTTCATATGTATTACTTTATACAACATTTTATTACAAAACCTTTTGAGAAGAAGTAGTCAGGAAAATCTTTTTTTGCTCATGATATCCAATTCCTCTTCTCTGTGTCTTGACTTTAAAATGACGTGACGTTAGAATTGTGTCAGTGGAGTTACAAACGACTGCTTCTTCAGCCTTGTTGCTGTTGTTAATAATAATAAATGCTTGCTGGAGCTTCTTTAGCTTCATATTACGGATATCTCTCTGCTTGCAGCAGCAGCCTTTTTAATGAATTTTGCCTGTATTTGCGAGAGGTTATCTGTGTTTTTGGTAATGTACTGTGACACATACTGAAAAATTAATCTCGGTAAATGAAAAGCCCACATTGTATATTTGAAGGTGGGATCATTACGGTGTCAAGTAGGACAGAGCAGACTTCCGTATAACTGGAAGTCCTACCGGTTTCATAGGATAGGGCCCTCAGCAACATCCTCAGCCTCGTCTTGTGATTTTGAAATTGAATTTGTTGGTTTTTTTAAAAAGTGGATTTGTATTGGACATATTGAACTGATCCTTGCTCCCGCTTGTCTTTGAATTCAGGGTGGTGTTGAAACAACTGCTCCCACCTGCCCCTGGCATGGAGGAATGACACGAGCTCCTGGAAGGCAGCAGTTTTCGGCCCCTCGCTCGTCTGATGGTGCATCATGGAGCTGAAGGTCTGGGTGGACGGGGTCCAGAGAATTGTTTGCGGCGTCACAGAAGCCACGACCTGCCAGGAGGTGGTGATCGCACTCGCCCAAGCGATAGGTGAGAATGAATGAAGTCGGATGTACTGTATACAGCCGGGAAGAGTGGTCCAACCTTCCACACTGTTCTGCACGTTAAAGAGGACTCTCCTCCGAAAGACAAGCCATTTTACTATACCCAGCTGAAGTCCCGGATATTCGTTAGTTTAGTTTCTGGAAGACGTGGTCTTACTGTCGTCGGAACAAAATTCAAACCTGTTTTATCGGTAACTGACATTCTCTGCTTTGGTTTTCCTTTGAAACAGCAGAAGGTATTATTTTTTTTTCTCCACCAACCTGTGTAGATATTATGTTAGATATACAAAGAAAGACTCAAAGCTTTGAAAGAGCAGAATTTTGATCTGTTTATTTAGAGCTGCAGCTGAAGTATAAGAAACTTGTGGGTTTCCTTGGCTCTCTTAAATAAAAATAAGAACCTAACAGTGTGTAACTCATCTTCTTTTTAAATGCTGCAGACAATTTATCAATGGTACTGGAGGGATCGTTTCCATTTCTTGTTTGCAGGCTTTGGGTCTGTTTCCTGTTATTTGAAGCCATTCCTAATTGGGCTAAATCACAGTGTCTGTGTGTGCATGGAGCCAGTGTCCTCCTAACCCCAGGGAGTGGGCTTTGCTTCCATAACCTCAAGCTCTTTACTGGTCACATTTCAGGCCCAGTTTGTAAGGGAGAATAATTAAAAGCAAGAGATGAAATAGTTTCAGATGTGACTTTTAATTTTCTGGAGGAAATCTGGGGCTTTGGTGCTTCATGACTCAGCTGCTGTTATTTCCCATCCCAGAGTGGTAGTTTTGGTTTAATCACGTCGTTCCACCTCTCTCTCACCCACCCATCCCTAGCCAGCTGTTCGTGCCAGCTCTGTTGCTCTCTAACCCAGTTTTTACACAAGTTAAACAACACAAGTCACGTCACAGAATCCGGTCTTCATTTTTGGAGAATTAAAATTAATTTGTCGATATATTGCTCGATCCACTTCAACACTTTTCACCTAGGAAAGACGTAATTTTGTAACTGTATAGATTTATAAACAGAGCAAAATGCGGTTCAGATGATATTTAGAACAAAAGCACAAAACAATAAGGAAATAGTGTCCAATACCAGTGCAGGTTCTTCACACTCAAAAACTTGCGTTTGCTATCAACACTGAGTCACTTCTATCATATTAGTGTTTCCAAGGACCTGTCATAAAACTGTTTTGCTATTAAGCCTGTTTTATTACGCTTTGTATAACTTTGTATAATCTGAGATTTCTGTCTTAAAGAATAGTTTGCAGTTAGTCAAAGAATAGAATGAATATTTTGGAAATTTGTTAATGCTGATAGTATTCTCTCTTAAAATGAGTGTTTTTTTTAAAGGATCCATTTTTGTCAAATGAATGTTCTTTATTTTTCATGTATTTATTTCCTGATTTGCACTGTAAGTGTTAATACCTCTGATGCAAAGGTTTACATTGTGCTTTCTATGTTAAGAATGTAGCAAAGTATGCATTTTACCCAGAAGTACAGACAACAGTCTTGTTTTTCTGACTGTGTTATGTGGTATCTGTTGATGAGCACTGTCTCTTTCACTGAATGTTAAGGCAATGGTAGTGGCCATTAGTGCTCACTTAGAAGGTCTTCAGTTTTCCTCGGCCATTCAGTGGGCTGTGTGTATGAGGCAGTCCAGTGGAACATCGTAAGTGCACCTGGCTCGTTGTTTTGTCCTAAGAACCACGCTTCCTGAATAAATGGATGCAAAGTACAAAAAGACAATGACAAAATGTGAAAGCACCACTTGACAGCATGCATGTTTCTGTCGGGTAAGCTTATCAACCCTGAATGAGGTGGGGACTTGCTCATTGTCACACGGTCTTTAAAGGTCTTCCAGAGACAGTGTGTTTTCTGCTGCTTATATGCATTGCAATCATAAAGTTTCGAACAGCTGTGTTTTATATAAATTATGTAGTAGGCTGTTCTCTGCAGTCTAGGTTATTTTCCTGCATGTATTTATTTTTTCCATTTCTTCAGCATCATCCACTAATACCACTAACTGTGAGTGCAGTAATAAGAAACAGCTTAGAAAAAAGCTAGGCAATGCAGAATACTGTTGGGGCATATTGCATTTATATAAAGTTATGAGCTTATTTAAAGTTACAAGTGAATTGTGTACACTGTTAAACTTCATCCGCATAGAATAGCTATTTTTAAAACACTTCTGATTATGATCCTTTGTTTCTAAACAAGATGATTAGGACTACATCATCCCATCTGATTCAAGAGCAGAGCTTGTATATGTTCAGTAATAACTGGATTTTTGTCCTACTGCATATTTGCAAATTTCCCTTCTTTGAAGTAATGGATATATATGCTGTAGGTTTACATTGCAGTTTCTCAAAAGCTGGACTCTAGTCCTTGTCTGCATCTTGACATTTTTCTTGTGAATTCTCTATAGTTTATCATCTGTAAGGAAAGGCAGGCAGTGACTTATTCATGCTGTTAACACAGAATGCAATATGCTTTTTTACCATTTTGTCCTGCTTTATTTCATCTTGTTGTGCATAACTTAATAGATTTTGGATCAAATGTGTCTGACATAAAGTAAGACGGCCAAACACCAGTGAACCAGTAGTAATTAATCTTTTCAAGTGAATAAGGAGTGAAGGATCCAAGCAGACAGTCTGAAAATCAGCTGGAGGTAGAACAAATCATATTCTCCCCAAATCCCTCTGAGAATGGGCAATAATCACAACCCCTACCAAAGCAGCACTGTGAGTCTGCTGCCGTTACTTAAAGCAATTCGTATTAGTTGAAAACATTTTACTGACATAGCGTTCTATCTCATGTGCACAATAAAAAATGAAGCAGATTCACAGGTTCTGTGAAACTGTAGTGAAGATGATCAGATTATTCCTTTCCATGCTGTCTTGTGACGTCATTGAGTTTTCCTGTGGCAATTGTCTTATAACACTGTTCCGTCTTGTCAGGCATTCATTATTTCCACTGAGCTCATCCACATTCCTCAAAGTTGTCTTTGTTAATCAACTGATGGATATCCCTCTAAAATAGAATGAAAAAGAAATTTGGCCAGTCACATCTTCTCAGACTGCATTTCTACAGCATCTTACTGTCTTGTCTTTTCAGGTCTGGATTTTTTATTTTTAGCACATCATTGGACGTGCCGTTGAATTAATTTTTGTCTGACATGGCAAAGGGGTTGTACCGTGTGAGAGATGGGTTTTGCAGCTCCGTTAAGCTCTATCGTCCAATTAACTTTTTTCTTTGTTTTCATAGAATTTTCTTCGGGTTTAGTACTATTTCCTGCACTGTATTCTCAAAGGAATTTGTTGCCAGGGCAGTTGAATCATTTTCTCATCATGTACCGTACGTTGCCACAGCTGTGGGCATTAGATCAGCATTTGTCACGATCAACCGTATTCTTGATTTTACTTGTCTCGTCCTGGCAGTCAGAATACCACAATGCTACTGGACGGGAATTATTAGGCTATTAAAAATGTAAGTTAAGAGTCATACCTGTGGCTTTTAATTCAAATTTCTTCCCTGGGCTTGCTCTGGAGAAATAAAATTCCCATAGTCCTGCCCCTTTTGTGTGAGAAGTAAGATAATAGATTCTTTAAAATATCAGTTTTATTATAGAATCTTCCATTTATATTCATTAATATGTGAGCCTATGTAGTGATTCAGTTCCAAAGACACAGAAACAGAATCCTTCACTCTTACACACTGTGTAGGTCTTCAGCTACTAAGGATTTGCCGTAGTTTTCCATTTGTGACTGTTCAGTAGGTGAGGCTGGTTTCATTGTTGATTGCTACTAATGCAGTTTAATAAGCCATATTCATGAACTGCTTTATGAAAAAGTGGTAAATCGCAGTGCAAAACTGATCCTATTAATTTACTGCCTCAATGCACTGCACCCTTTTGGAGTGAATCCCATAAATCTTTAACAAAACCAAACAAAAATGGAGGAAGTCAAATGTTGAAACTTACTTAGTTTTTTTTTACATATTTATGTTTCATTTTCTGAATGTTAGACTGGCATCAACAGAGTTCTGACTACAGAGTGAGAAGGTTGAGTAATTAGCTGAAAACTAAATTATATGCACTGGAAAATGACAAAGCTTTATTCAGGACAGGCATGAATTGCCTCTTCCCTCCTCTTGCTGGTAATGGTCTGATTAGCTTGAGGTTGATTGACAGGTAGTTATTAAGGGAGGGGAAGCAGCTGGCCAAAGCTACAACTTCAGTATGAGCGCTGATTAAACCGGCTCCACCATTCAAGCCACTTTATCTCATGTTTCTTCTACATTCGCGGGGATACTTCACAAAACCACAGCATGAATTGTACATTAGTAATGGAAAATAGGATCTTAGGCTGTTGAAACATTTGAAGCCCCCTTGGGTATAATTCGAGTGTGCACATCTTAAAATGTAAAAAAGAGGATTGCATGTGGTTCCTAAAGGCTTTTCTACATGCAATTATTTTTTTTATGCTGGAAAATTCCACAAAGTCTTTCAAAACAAAGCTGGCTTGTTTTACACCTCGTGCTTAAACGCGTTTATAGCAAGATGTCCTGTACAATCTGGCACTTCCCTGAGGCGCTGACGGCCCCGCTTCTCTGCTTGTAGGTCGGACTGGAAGGTACACGCTGATCGAGAAGTGGAGGGAGACCGAGAGACACCTAGCTCCGCACGAGAACCCCATCATCTCCCTGAATAAATGGGGCCAGTACGCCAGCGACGTTCAGCTCATCCTGAAGAGGACCGGGCCCTCGCTGAGCGAGAGGCCCACCTCGGACAGCATGGCTCGCATCCCGGAGAGGACTTTGTACCGGCAGAGCCTACCCCCTCTGGCCAAGCTCCGGCCCCAGAGCGACAAGTCGCTGAAGCGCAAGGAGCCCAAACGGAAGTCGTTGACCTTCACGGGCGGCGCCAAGGGCCTGTTGGACATCTTCGGGAAGGGCAAGGAGGCCGAGGGGAAGCACAAGGCGCTGAACGGTAACTCCCCGCGGGCCGGCACGGAGGAGCTGTGCAGGCTGGTCAAGCTGCAGAAGGAGAAGCTGCAGGCCCTGGAACAGCGGCTGGAGAGCCACGAGGCCGAGCTGCGGCTCTGGGCCGAGAGGAACGGCGGGGGCGCCGGCGGCCTGGAGGAGGAGGTCCTGCGGCTGGAGCAGCGGGTGAAGAAGAACGAGGTGGAGATCGAGGAGGAGGAGTTCTGGGAGAACGAGCTGCAGATCGAGCAGGAGAACGAGAAGCAGCTGAGGGAGCAGCTGCAGGACATGAGGCGCCGGATCCAGGAGTGCGAGGGCAAGCTGGCGGAGTACCTGGCCAAGATCCAGGGCATGGACGCGGGCATCGAGGCCGAGAAGCTCCAGCAGGAGATGCAGGAGACGCAGCAGGTCGACGAGGAGGAGGTGAAGGCGAAGATCCTGAAGGCGAAGAGGGAGCTGGAGAGCCAGGCGCAGCACACGGCCAGGCTAGAGAGCAGCTGCCGAGCAGTTGAGAGGTCTCTCGGACAGGCCACCAGGAGGTTGCAGGTAAGATGGACAAAAGTGATGCGTGGTGTGATTGGTAAGTGGTCCAAAAGGAACTGTTTTAGAGAATGAAAATATATATTAAGTGCCTGAAGTCAGAAAATCCTCCCTGAAAACAAAAAAATATTTTGTTTACTGTTGTGGTCACATACAGTGTGTGTGTGGTGACTGCAGTGACTATAATCTATAATCTATTCAAATTTAGTAAATTGTTCTTTTTTTCCCTTTTCCCTCATCACTTTCTTTAGATGGGTAGAGTACAAGACTTTCCTTCTTTGTCCTCCCATATTTGAGTGAGATTGCATTGTTTGCCATTGAGAATTGGAGAAAACATAAATTTAAAATGATCTGCTCTCGAGTTTAAGCTGCTCTTCAGTAATTTGAATTGTACTTTAACCATTTGTTTATTTAGATCTGCCACACTACATTGGGCTTTGTTTGTTGATGACACAACTTGATGGTTGAAACTTTTAGTACAATTCTAACAGTATGTTTATTTTATTAAAAAAGGAACTTTTTTCTTTTACCAGGACACAGCCAAACTATAGATTGGAATTTTTTTTTTTAAATCACCCCAAGGAGTCTCCATCTTACTTAATCATATGTCACTCCCCTTCTCTGGCCTTTTCACTAATTTCTTCTTGTGCTATTGCTGAGAGAGCATCCAGGGTGATGTGATAGGACTTCTCACTTGGAGGTTTGAATGGACTTTACAGATCACAGCCCTTGTCTTCACCCCCAAGTTATTCTTACTACGTGTCAGATGGAAGCAGCAGGCACACAGGACGTTTGCCTACATATGGACCTTTTGTCCAGTTTTGAAGTCCTTTGGGCATGGGCTTGTCTGTGCCAACACAGCTTTCACGATCCAGAAAAGCACTTAACACAAGGAAAGGACTATCTTGCATGAGGCCTACAGGCGGTGAGCAGTGTCAGTATATCCTAGCGTCACAAAAAGGCCCCCCTACTCTATATGTGTAACTGATTTTTTTTCCAACCAGTAAACTCACGTGAGTGGTGATTGAATTCGATTTCAACCTGGATTATACCACCACCTAACTGTGACCTGTATTCCCCAGTTGCTAGTGCACAATTGACTGACAGCAAAGGCCAGGTGGGATAAGTCAGGAGCTCTTTCTTGCTCTCAGCGGCCTCCCTGGAGCTGGCAGGCTTATAGGACTGTCTGTGAGGGAGGCACATGTCTCTTCTTCAGTTCGGCACTGAATCTCCCGCTCCGGGCTATGGTGCCTGTGGTGTTTCATGAAATGAGTGGCTTGAAGGTATTATTATGTTGTCGCAAGCGAATCAGAAATCCCTAGTCTTGCCACGTGTGAGAGTTTGTGCGAATTTTTGATGAGAAAGCAGCCCTTCCTGCTCACTAGTTCTTGTGGGCATATGAGAAACATGTTCTCCTAACAACATTTATTATGAGTGTATTTTAGTTGGTTAGAAGGTTGCTCTTTTTTTCCAATACTTAATTGTATCCAAGAACTGAAAATATTTATTAATCCTTCACTTGGTCTAAAACACGTCTACAGTGCATTCAGAATCGCAGTCAATGACGAATATGGAGCTATGCATACATTGAAACGATCTCTTTTGTGTTGTAAATTGGAGGTTGTACATGTTACTATGTACTTGGTAGTTTCAATGTGGTTTGAGAATCACTCATCATTGCCAATTCATTATAACCCAAAATACAAACATAGCACTGCAGTGCCCCTTTAAAAAATTGTTTAAACAATCATGAGGATGTGTTGTCTTTCTTTTACTCTAGCTGCTTGTGATCAGCGTATAGCACGCGGCTTTTGGAGCAGTGTGAAACCGGAAAACCCGCTCCGGTCCCATTGCTCTCTGTGCGCGTGAGTAGCCGATGTGCTAGATGCTCACTTCTGTGTGCGCTGAATTGTCCCCCCAGGAGAAGGAGCAGGAGCTCGAGCAGCTCACCAAGGAGCTGAGGCAAGTGAACCTGCAGCAGTTCATTCAGCAGACCGGAGCCAAGGTCACCGTGCTGCCAGCGGAGCCCAGCCTGGAAGAGTCGGCCCTGTCAGAGCTGGGGAAAGGTGACTACCAGGAGCTCCCCAAACGGGCTACACGGGCTGTATGGCCCCCTCTCCTTCGTAACCTTTCTTATGTTCTAAACGAAGCAGATTTCCAACCACGGACTCGTTACTTTTTTTTGATCCATGCGCTGAACAGCACGTTTCTATGAATCAGGGAATATATGAATCTTAACAAGCTCTGACTACAGTGATAGAACATGGACCTTTCTAAAAAGACAGCTAATCCTGCTTTGTTTATAATTACCCAATGGCAAGGGCTAATGTTTATTTCTTCATCCATGTTGTTCCTTGGTTTATTAACAGTGATCTTGTATATATATGGCTGACTGCCATTTTGAATTATCAGTCTTCTTTTTGTCTTTTTTAAGAGATACAACATTAATGCAAGTGAGATAATGTTTCCTGTCGAATATATTCACTCCCATATAATAATAATAATAATGTTTCTTTATTAGCCCTATACAATTTCTTGCATTAGGAATTCGTCTTTTCGCATACCCCATCTTTTTCTCCACAGAGACACAGACACACATACAGGGAGAAGCTTGGGGTCAGAGCGCAGGGTCTGCCATTGTACGGCGCCCCTGGAGCAGTTGGGGTTAAGGGTCTTGCTCAGGGGCCCAACAGAGTAGGATTCCTCTGCCGGCCGCGGGATTTGAACCGGTAACCTTCCAGTCACAGGCGCAGATCCTGAGCCCCAGAGCCACCGCTCCGCCCATTAGAAATGTGAAGTGTTTAAGCATTGCTTCTTATGAGCATTGATGAACACTAAGGTGATAGAGACAAGGCTCCTTTTAGAATACTGCTTTGCTTATAACTAATTCATTTCGTGGACAGATGAGAAGCAGTACTTCTGATTGCAACAATTTCTACTTAATCCCTTTTCTCAGGAGCAACAGCTGACTGTCAGTGCAAAGTCTTATGAAAAGTCCTGTGGTTCCATTAGTCACTCTGAGTTTATTACTCATAGTGCACTTTGTTTGATTCTTTCATTGGCTTTCAAGAATGATCAAGAGGAGTCAGAAGAGGGATTTGGATTTGTACACATGAATACACCAGCATATGGGTAGCTGGACTGGATGGAGCTGAGAGAAATGTCTCTGAGCTAAGCTCAGATATCGTCTGTGGTGTCTTATCCTGCATATTATTGCTCTGTTGCTTCGGGAAGAAATTTCCTCAGAATCTTAACGGTAGAGTGGGCTGAAATAAAAAAATGTATTGTCTTATTTAGTGTGTCCAGTGAGCTAAACAAAAAGTCTGATGTGCCATTATCATCTCCTGACATGTCATTACAGCCACCTGCTGGTGACTTGGGGTACAGCAGCTCTGGTTTTCTTCACTGGTTTTAAATCCACAAGTTGCAGTGAATTGACAGACCTTAATAGAATTAGTAGTCTTCATCTGTTTGTGTTTCATGATTCTCAGTGATATATCATATACTTCTACATGTAGTAAATACAAACAAATGTTTGGTGGTGTTTTTGTGAAGGGTTTCTTGCCTTTTGCTGTGACCTTTAAACACTCGTCTTCTCATGATTCATCCTGAGAGCTCCTTAAGGGAAATCAAGGAAGACATTTCTAATGCCCAATGCTGATTTGGTCCTGATCCCTCCTTTAATTGCAGGGTGATGTGCAAGAGGCAAAGCCCTCCAGCGTTTTTTTTAGTTACTTTAATGAGATGCACACATGGTCTTGCTTTCAGTAAGTGGAGTCTCACTCGTGCACATGCATCTCGTTAAGAAATCAAGGATTAATCTGTAACCTTCTCAGATGTGCTCACGCCCCTCTCTCTGTTGTGTGCAGAATCAGACTCCCCGTCGAGCTCGCTGAAGCGGCCCTCCTCCTCTCGCCAGCTGCCCAGCAACCTGCGCATTCTGCAAAACCCGCTCACCTCTGGGTTCAACCCTGAGGGCATCTATGTTTGAGTTCTTGAACATCCTTCCACGGGTGAAAAAGAGTCCCGGGTGCCCCATCACGTTCTTCCAGCGCCACAGGACTGTGCTCTGATGGAGAGGCCAGTGTGAGTCTTCCTGTCCTGCCGGGCCCCAACTCTCTGCTCAGACGTTGGATCACTAGGCCACAGCCCTCACTGATATATAGAGGTGGAGTTTGCTGAGGCATGAAATATGTATGTGTGTGTGTATGGACTGACAAAGCCTATTGAAATATTAAAGAGTTAAATGCTACAGGCTTGTTCCAAGTCTCGGGTTTTCCAGCTGAGCAGTGTGTCATCTGCCGAGAGTCATTTACAGCTGTATATAATTAACGCAGGCAAATCTGGAGCGAAATTGGCATCTGATTTGGCCTTTTTAAATCTACACGCTGTTATTCCAGCTAAACCTGTGTTTGTACATCTCGCTGCACACTAGCAGCAAGTATTAGAGCTTAAGAACGACTATTATCACTGTTCCTTTTGTTGTTTACATTCTTTTTCAGCAAGTACCTAAGTCTGTGAAAACAAAAATAAAGAAGCCTTATGTGCTTGTTGTTCTGAATCTCGACAGAAATGTCCTGATTTGCCCGGTAGACACTTAGCCCGTCTTAGCCTTAGAAAGTGTTTAGCTGTAACTTAATGGGTTCTTCAACTAAACACAGTATTATTGCTGTAGTTGCAGAAGTACATCATTTCTAGGATTTTGCTAAACATTGTTCACTTGGAATGGGTTTCCCAGAATCCAGTAGGATGTTACGTTGTGTCCTAGTAAAGAATAGTTGTTCGTTAATCTTTTTCTAAAAGTTTGGATGTTCCAGCTCTCCTATGAAAATATTGTCTACATCAAACCACATTTCCAGAAACCACACCGTTCATGCTGATGCCTGAACTACCCCACCACCATCATCACCTGCCACATTGGGTTAAAAAACTGGAGTGGGCTACGTCTGTATATTGCACAAGCCAAGGAGAATCTGCCAGGCAAATATAAGCTTTATAGGAGGAGGGTCTTCCCAGTACAGGCAGTATTGGTTAAGGGACTATAGAGGAGGAGAGCCAGATGAGACTGGTTTCCCCTTATTGATTTTTCTGATACTCTGTCTCCTGTCTGGTGCATTCAGAATATGAACCTGCTTTTATCACAGGTCTTTCTGGCCTGGTGATCAAAGCAGGGTTGCTGTCGCTCAGTTTCATCCTTCATTTTTGAAATTTCAGGCTCCATGCTTACTTGCAGAACTGATTATAACTCCAGCACCAGAAAACAAATAATTGTTTCAGCTATAATTTCCAGACATTTCTCTTGATTCATGCCTGCAAAACAAAAGGTTTTATCATGTTCCTCTTCAGAGAGTTTTGAATGTTTCTGGAGCTGTATGTACAATAAAATAAACTGGGGTACACTGTTGAAACAGGAATAAAATTGGTAGGAACAGTACTTTATAGTATGAGAAGTGGGTAAAGGCAGTGTTGTCTGAACTAAAAGCGGGTCGAAGTTGTTTTCCCATGTTTACTTCTCCGATACCTGCAACCTGACAGTACTAGCAAAGTTCACCTAAAATCAGGTATTACTCTGGGAGTTGGCGAAAGGCTAGATTTTTCTCCACTACCTGTTTCACGACAGCTCGAGCTCTGAAGAATGGGAGGCCTGCTCAAGTGGCACTCCACTCAAACCCCTGTGACTTGGCCGACCATAGAAATGAGGATCTGGGGCAACCTTGTCTGTGTGATTCAGAAGCAGTCAGCCATCACCTCTGTAATGAGAACTGAAACTGCACTGTGCTCTCATTCTAATTGGGAAGCTCGTGGGAAAACCAAGTTTAAAAGCAGCTAGAAGTGTAGAGGCCTGACCTGTCGTTGAAATTCAGACTGAGGTTTGATATATGGTATATCCTCATCATCAGCTACACACTTCCCTGTTAATAGTACTATACTCTTCATTCACATTTTATATATAAAATATAGCTGTTTAGGCTAGAACGTTCACAAGACTTATTAATGATTCTGAGGTGTATTTTGGCGTTTGGGCTAGATCTAGAGAGACTTGATATCATAGCATTTAATTTTTATTAATTTGAAGATGTAAAAAATGAAAATAAAAAAATCCCAGAAAACAGAAAACTGTCCTCTGATATTCACACTCCAGCTTCCCTGTAGGATTGTAATTGATGATTGAGGTTTATGAGGGGTGAACTAGTTTAGTTTGTAGGATGGCTTGAGCATGCAAACTGCAGCGCAGAGACCGATTGAATGTAGCAATAAGTGGGGGGAAAGGAAAGAACTTATCTGTATGGATTGTCCCTGACGGACTCATCTACTGTGGTATCAGTATCTTAAAATGCAGCAATAAACCTTGTAGCTGATAACTGACTAACTACAGCTCTTTCATGTAGAAATTGGCAAGACATTTAAATCGAATAGTCCTGAAGAAGCACATACTGATTCATCACACCTTGCACTTTATCAGATCCTTTGCTGATGTTCGAAAAGCAATCGAGATGGATTTTTTTGACTCTATAATGAAGGAACAAAAATACAGGAAGCAGTGTATTCTTTCGGTTTATGAAATTTTAGATATTTTAATTTTGTTTGACTTACTATATCTGTGGTTGATTTTTATTCTTAAACTCTACACTGAAATGTGGCTTATACCTGGATATGGCAGTTTTTTTTTGAGCAGATGTATCTCTTAAAGGAGCTATAACTAATTTTTATTTTTTTAATATCGAGCCATGGCTAGGTTTGATGCATCCCCTTGTGTTTCCTTGGGCATTCATAGTGTAGTCTTATGACCATGGCTGTAATTATCTCTGTGCCACATCTTCTCTGTCTGGGTGTCTGAGACATGCTCCATGCCTTCTGTCCTCTTCGTGTTGTACAGAGATCCGTTTGTGATCTCTTTCCAAATGCAGGGTGAGGCACCTGGGACAAATCTTTGCTGCCAGTATTGATAGATCTTGAAAATGAAGTAAATCTGATTCATGATTATCCTTTTCTAAACTGTAAACATTAATCAATTGAAAAAGTGAGTGGCAGTGATGGTCTACAGTCATATGTATGAAATGTCAAGAGAGAGAACGGAAAATGCTGTCACAGCTGACTCTGTATTAAAACATGAAATCTGTACTTTATTTCTGTGGGAAATATGTTTTATTTTTCTGTATCTGAATTCTTTTTTTCCCTATCAATCCAATTAGTCAAATTATGGGTGCCTGAGGTAATACTGTCACAAGGCAGTCCAAAAGTTTCAAGGTGAATTTTGGTCATTTGCCATACAGGGTGAAAAGGCAAGTTAGTCCAAACTCAGTGCTAATCCTGGTCTGTAAAGTAATTTTAAGACTTTTTCAGTATTACTGCTCATTTTGTATTTTTTTTTTTAATCGGAACATGAAGGAAATGGATTTGTGTAAAGGTAGCATAATGGAAATGAGTTGTTTGGGGCCAAGAACAGAAACATGCCTTATTCAATGCAGAGTGTAAATACCGAGAGGCGTTCAATAAATATTTTTTTGAAAGTGTGTAAAATAAAACATAGCACTGTACAGCTAATCTAAACTATAACTTTTTTTTTATTATGCGGTCTTGAAAATCAGTGTGTAGAACAGTGATGGCAGAATTCCTGTTGGCGGGAAAGGCCAAGGATGTTAGAGTCATGTCATGTTCTTTTTAGTGCTGCTGTAACTCGGAAGACATGTTTCTTATCTGTTAGGATATCACCAGTTATTTTTTTTGCATCCTGTGGCTTGTAATGCTGGGGGGAATACGGTAATTGTTTTTTTTAGAACGGTGTGCTGTAAATATATTTTCCGATGGCAGATAACTGCAGAGGTTTAAGCCTTTGAGTTTTATATCCTTGTAAAGTTACAGTACATATGTAAGGGGGACCTATGTCACTTGTACAACTTTAAATAACCAAAAATGATTAACTGAGGCCCAAAGATGTATACTGTTTTAAAAACAAAACAAAGAAGCAGTGTATGTATTCAGCATTGATTAAAGTGGATTTCTGTACTACAGATAACTTTTTCTATACAAACATTGCACACAGGTCTGTACAATTTGTAGTTTTGTGTTTAGAATCTTCATTTTCTCCATCTTACAGTATTCTTACAGAGAGAAAGAAAAGATGTATTTTGGATGAAGTGCGGACATTTGCAGTATTAATTCTGTATAAAAGTTACATATATATTTTTATTATTTTCTTTCACTCATTCACAGCTATGGAATTTTGAAATGTTATGCCTTTCTTGATGTGTAACACACTGCTGAGATGATGACAAGCGTAATAAAAATAAACCTTTATTCAGTGTAACCTTTTCTCTAGCTTTATTATGGTTTATTTATGTTAATTATTTACAACTTGCGAGAAATAAATCGGGGAAAACCTGCTTCTTTACAAGTTGTACATGGGTAATCTTGTCTGCAAGTTACCGAAAGTTAAAGTGCTGCTTTGATGACAGATGACACCCTGGACATTGTAACATGAAGGTCGAGCAGGCTGCAAAGGAACAGGTAAAGGTTTGCTCCATGCTGAAAAGAAAAGACACAACATTTCCGCTGTGGGGCCTTCTTCGGTTATGTCACACACCTGAAGAAGGCTCCACAGCTGAAATGTTCTCTTTTCGGCTTAGAATAAACCTTTACCTGTTTGTTTTAACAGGAATGCATATTGTCGTGGGATTATTCATCAGGTGGATCAATTAAACCCACCACATGTCTTATGGTGTTACATGGAATGTAGTTTAAGTATTTTGAAAAAATGGCTTTAGAAATGCTTAAAATAAACTTTTTGTCCAGCACGCATTGAAATACTTCATAAATTTAAACCGCAGTTGTTTTTAGGAATACTGAAGTAACGGTTTTAGGACACTAGAGGGCACTGTTAACTCTTCCGTCTTCTGTAACAGCCTTCTTTTCAGGGTAGCTTAGGTTATTATGATGTGTCTTGTTAAAAGGTTTAGCATGTATTGTGGTTAATAATAGTAAATGAAAAACACTTGGAACTTCTAATGACTGTTCTTGGAGTTCACTAAGTAACCTCGAATGCTTCTCTTCTTTTTGATGATTTCAAAGATAGAACTGCACATGACGCACGCACATTGCATAGGCCGCAAAGGAGCAAGTAAAGGTAGATTCCATGCTGAAAAGATAAGAAGGAAACAACGTTTCGGCTGTGGAGCCTTCATGTGTCACCCAAAGAAGGCTCCACAGCTGGAATGTTTCCTTTATTCTCTTTTCATCATGGAATCTACCTTTACTTGTGACTTCTAAGCATTATCTTCTACTATCAACACATGCCAAGTGGAATGTTATGCTAGTTGGTGCAATGCTGCCTACTAAACATTTAAACAGGATTAATTTACAAACGGTACTGATACGAGATCACCGCCAAATACCTTTTAAATGAGAGCATGTTAGTTTTGCATTCTTCGGGTGTGTCCTTACCCCCACGATACACAGATTTAATAGTAAGTGAGTGCTGAAGGGAAACAAACCCATAGATGCTGAGTTGGGTCTTTTAACTGGCTTAGGACAGTGGGGAAAGACTTCCTTGCTTTCCACTGTTCTGAAGGGAAAAGACTGGAGCCTCTGGCAACACTTCATACTGCCTTGAACACAATCCCATTTCCTTAGAATGAGCTTCAATTGAGCTGCCTACTTATGTACAACTGCAGAATAACTCCTTTAACGCCCATTTTTCCCCACCCATTAAATATTTCTTCATTACAATCACAGCACTTTTAAGGATTTTAGTTTTTACATTGCAAATGAACTTTGTTTTCATCTTGTTTTTGCTAAATAGCCAATTTATGACACCTGCAGAAAGCTCCACAACCTTTCAGTGTGGAATGAACCTCTACTTGTTCTAAGACGGCCAGTTCAGCTTCTACTGTATGTCAAAGGTAGAAAGAAGCACTGCCATCACTCCCAGTGCTTTGCAGTTTTCAGGCAAGCAGCAGGGGACCAAGAAGCAATAAAAATGAAACTCTGGTGACTAGGAATACAAATAAATAAAACCTGGATGTCCTACCAACTTTTCCCTGCAGGGGTCATTCTGATCAAGTTTTCCCCCTTCTCTTCCATCACTATTTGTTGGCTCTATCAAGGTTTGTGACAATATTTAAGTGAATATCATTTTGTTACATTCTTAATTAAATATCAGAGCACCTTCTGGTGTTTGTAATTTCTATTAGCTATGCATTATTCAGGTCTTAACCCCCCTTACCCACACACACAGAAGAAATGCACAAAGGAGATACCGGTTTCGTCTTTCGAAAAACTGGAACGCCAAACGATCTACAGCTCCATCACCCTTCACTCTTCCATGAAAAGTCCAACTTTATGATATTGACCCTTGGTCTGAGCTTCTCTTACTTCACTTGGCTTGTACTGTACAAATCACTATGCTGTGTTGTTACAGCCAGCTGTGTGAAATATTTAAAGTGGAACTGCAACACTATTTTCAGATTTTGGGGTTAGAAAGCGTCAGCATGGATAAGTGCATTTCAAACTGCATGAAATGCAAAATCTACACAGTAACTTGAAAAACCTCTAATTTATATCACAAAACAGACAACATTTTCAAGTCTGTTCAGCACCATGTACTGCAATGCAGAAAGAGGCAACAAAACTTCCAGTGACATGTTGTGAACAACCTGGCTTGTGGATATATCTCTTTTAATCCAATAGAAATATTGCTTTAGATTTCTAGACAGTTTTGCCGGCAAATACTTATTGCTTGCTAACTGCATGCAGATCCCATTGGAACATTTCTGTAGTGAAATGTACAGTGGTGTGAAAAAGTAAGTACACCCCATGAAAAGGGTTTGTCTTTTTTTTTACATTTTTGGACAAAAGGATATTTGATCGTCATTTCAATAATACAATAGATAAGGGTGATCTAATTTTTAAAAATATTTTGCACTCATTTGTACTATTTAAATCAACAGAAATGCAATTTCTTTGTGTGGAAAAAGTTAGTACACCCCTACCTTTATCATTGCATCGAATGTCTAAATTTAGAATCAGGTGCACCAAAACAGGTACAAATGATCGCGACATCATTAAAGAGTAACATGGAGGGTACTGCCTTATATAAACATCAGAAACCTGTGGTCTGGTTTGGTCTTAGCAATTGTGGTGTGTGGCTACGTCATCCCAAGATCAAAAGAGCTCTCTGAGGCCCTCAGAAGAAAGATTGTTGATGACCATTTTTAATGTTTCCAAGCCATTTTCCGTTTCCAAAATTTCAAACCACTGGCAACCTTTCCAGGCCAGGCCGTCCCACCAAATTCAGCCCAAGAGCTCACCGAAATATTCTGCAGGAAGTCTCCAAGAACCCCAGAATAACATTGAGGGATTTACAGGCAAGTCAACCATCCGAAAGCGAATGCACAACTTTTGCCCTACATGTGAGGTCAGGAAGAAGCCCCTGCTCTCAAAAAAGAATACGTAGGTGAAGATCAGGACTATTGGAACAATATTATCTGGATGGATCCCACAAAGGTAGAGCTGTTTGCCCACAATGCCAGACGTCTTGTTTGGCATAAACCAAAAAGTGCCTTTGACCAAAAGAACCTCATACCAACTGTAAAACAGGGTGATGGAAGCATTATGGTTTGGGGCTGCTTTTCTGCCTCGGGGCCTGGCCAGCTTGCCATCATAGAGTCAACCATGAATCCCACATTGTACCAGAGAGTACTTGAGGAGAATGTGAGGCCATATGTCAAAGAGCTGAAGATGAACCGTAAGTGGACCTTGCAACAAGACAATGACCCAGAACACCCAAGCAAATCCACAAAAGAATGGCTCAAAGAGAAGAAATGGAGGGTTCTTGAATGGCCAAGTCAAAGCCCAGATCTTATCCCCATAGATATGCTGTGCGGGGGACTTGAAGCGGGCAGTACATGCAGGAAAGCCCTCAAACGTCACACAGTCGAAGGAGTTCTGTAAGGAGGAGTGGGCAAACATCTCTCCAAGTCAATGTAGACAATTACAAGAAACGCCTACAAGAAGTGTTTTCATCCAAAGGGGGCAACACCAGCTATTGAAACTCGGGGGTGTACTTGTTTTTTCCACAGCAGGCAATTGCATTTCTGACTTTTTTTTGCTGAATAACTGATTGCAAAGAATATTTTTCATGGTTATTCGTTAAATTAGATCACCTTTATCTATCAATATTATTGAAATTAAGATCAAATATCCATACACGCAAATATGTTGAAAAATACACACCTTTTCATGCGGTGACCTTACTTTTTCACAGCACTGTATGCTGCCCAACCTTTATTTATACATCCCATTACTGTATCAGTCATTACTGTGACTAGTGAACAGGAAGGGCTGCTTCACGTCACAGTTTTGGTGGGAACTCGCATGTGAGTTTGTGACAACACGGTGACTTACAGTAGTTTCACAGAGTTTAATATTTTGTGCTTAATTCGAAATTTGGATTTTTTTTCTATAACATCAATGAATGTATTTTGTTACTGAGATTTAATAATTGGTCTGAGAAATTGGGAATGCTGTTCCCTAAGTTGAAATCCCTGGTGGGGTACTTGTTGGAATTGGAAAATTATTTCAGTAAAATGTCCAAATAGGTATACATTAAAGTTGCTTTGGATAAAAGTGTCAGCAAAATTAAGAATTAAATCTTCTCTGATTTAAATGACTAATACGTATTGTGCTGAAAATCATTTTTGAAGGTACTGCTGTAGCACTGCAGACGTTCAGAAGTGATGCTGATTATCCAGCTGTGTTGCACCCAGTTTGTGGTTCTTTGCGGCTCAAAAGAAAGAACGCAAAGCAGACTGAACTGGAGTCAAATTGTTTGGTTGCATGCCATGACACCACATAGCATGCTATACAAACCAGAAAAATATATCAAACCTTTGTTTCTCTGTGCTGTACTCTCGGGACCATAAAACTAAACAATAGTTGAAGTTGCTTTTTGTCTATGAATGGCAATTTAAACATTAAATCACCACCACAAATATTGAATGCACCCTGTTTATTGCTTGTTTATACCAGCTTCAGTATGTGTACGCATTCCAGCACAACTCTGAAATCCTAGCAATGTCATGCATCATTTTCATTCTCAGCACAGCTCTGGAACAAAAGATCTTGCCCTATTTGTTACTAAAGCTGCTTGCTGCAGAAAACAAGGTGGACTCAGGTGCACAATAAAGAATGTGGAGGAGCCTGTGGTGAGACACGGTTTAGGAATTCATTCATAATGTGAACAATGCAATTACAATCTTTTCTTGTATAAATTTAAAGATAACTTCTTAGCATTTTCTAAAGCACATATGA